CGGCTGGCTCAATGGCTTCTGGGTTTTTTGGAAGGTAAGGTCCCAGGAATTTGTGTCGTTACCCTCACTTCATCCCTCCTTGATGTTTGCAGTCTTTGTCCTGCAAAATAGTTTGCGTGGAGCGAGAATGTAGCTGTGTAAGGGAGGGGGGGAGAATTCAGAGACGGCTGTGATAGGGCAGAGTATCAGCTGTTCAGGAAGCGACCCCTCCATGTGTTTGAACCCCTACTCTTGCCTCCCTAGCTCTCTCTAGTCACACAAACCCCGGTTTTGTATCTCAGAAATAGAATTGAGGAATTGAGAATATCTATGTTAATTTGCATGATTCTAGATCAGGACTCCATAAACTTCTTCTGTAATATAGTAATTTGCTTTGTTTTATTTGAGACAAGGTTTCCCTGTGAAATCCTGGCTGTCCTGGAACTCTCTCTGTAGATCAAGCTGGCCTTGAACTCACAGAGATCCTCCTGCCTCTGCCTCTCGAGTGCTGGGATTAAAGGCGTGAGCCACCAATGCCAGGCTCAGTAATTTGTATTTTAAGTGGGTTTTTTTGTTTGTTTTTTATTTGTTTTGTTTTTTTGAGACAGGGTTTCTTCTGTGGCTTTGGAGGCTGTCCTGGAACTAGTTCTTGTAGACCAGGCTGGTCTAGAACTCACAAAGATCCACCTGCCTCTGCCTCCTGAGTGCTGGGATTAAAGGCATGCGTCACCAATGCTGGATTTGTATTTTAAGTTTTATAGGCTCTAGTGTCCGTGGCAACAGCTCACCTCTGTCAGGAAGCCCAACACCTAACTAGAACACAGATGGACTGGAGTGGCTGTGCTTCCCCCAGCATAGCTTTCCCCCAGGATGAGGGTTCGTCTGTTTTAGGGTCTTGCTATGTTGCCCAGGCTGACCCCAACCTCCTGAGCCCTAGCTATCCTCCTGCCCCAGCCTGCCAGTGATTGGCTCTGGTCCAGCAAGACTCCACTTGCACCAAGCACGGTAATGCACACTTACAATCCCAGTAGTCTGTAGGCCGAGGTAGAAGGATTCAAGGTCTATCTGGGCTAGGTATTAGAACACCGTACCAGCCGGGCGTTGGTGGCGCACACCTTTAATCCCAGCACTTGGGAGGCAGAGGCAGGCGGATCTCTGTGAGTTTCAGGCCAGCCTGGTCTACAAAGTGAGTTCCCAGGACAGCCTCCAAAGCCACAGAGAAACCCTGTCTCGAAAAACCAAAAAAAAAAAACCAAAAAAAAAACAAAAAAAAACCACCGTACCAGAGACAAACACTTCACACTTTATGTGTGGACACTGCAATTTAAGTTTTGTGTAATTTTCACATGTCTGTCTCCTCTGATTTTCCCTCTTCCCTTGCCTCAAAATCACATATTGACTCCTCTGGGTGTCTTCTCTTCAGGAAGTTTCTCCCAGGCTAGGCTTTTGCCTCTCTGGGTCTCCTTCCCAGGTTCTAGAAACTCCTCTGGCAGAGTTCTCTATCCACCTCACCTCAAAAGAGTCTACGAGCCCAGCATGGCAAAACCTTGTATACTCAGAAAATGGGTTAAGATATGGCATATAGCAGGAGTTTAATACTTAGTGGATATATAGACTGGCCAGCCTGGCTGGGCTTTTTGTTTTGACTCCTAGTGCTGAGAACTGAACCAAGGGTCTCACACTCACCAGGTACCTCAGTCATTGTCCTAGTGCCCTGAGGAGACACCATAACCAAGGAAGATTGTATAAAGAAAGCGTTTACCGGGGCCTGGTTTACAGTTTCAGAAGCTTAGTCCATGATCGTTATGGCAGGAAGCATGGTGGCAGGCAGGCAGGCAAGCATGGTGTTGGAGCCGTAGCTGAGAGCTCTACATCGTGATCCACAGGCAGCAGGCAGAGAAAGAGAGAGATACTGGTGACACACCTCTTCCACCAAGGCTATATCTACTCCAAGAAGACCACACCTCCTAGTCCTTCCCAACAGTCACTGCCTGGTGACTAAGCATTTAGATATATTAGCCTATGAGGGCTGTTCTCATTCAGACCACCACACTAGGCTTATTTACTCATCCACTAAGTTACTCCCTGATCCTCTTTTTACTTTGAGATAAGGCCCCACTAAGTTTCCCAGGATGGCCCTGAGCTTGCACTGTAGCCCAGAGAAGCCTTGAACTTGTGACACCCCCAACCTATACCTTCATCTCCTGAGTGGCTGGAATTACAGGACTTGATTCCACAGAGAGGCAAATTTACATCTCTGTGTGTGTGTAGTATGTGGCACAGACTCTAAGAGGTGAGCAAGACTTGAGTTTATTGGATTGTTTCTCAAATTTAAGAGCATCTTCCATTAAAATATAGTTTTTCTTTTGAACATTTACTTCAGTCACACATTGATCAAAACTCCATAGAGAGCCAGCCAGAGTCCTGGATCCGATTCAATCCCTCACCCTCTTGCCTTCACTCACCTCGTGGTAATCGTCTTAGAGCCTGTTCATCCTCCCAGCTGTTGTTTTATAATCCTAGATGCACAGGCATGTATTTTTAGTGCTCCCTTTTCTATAGTAGCCTACTATAAACAATGCTTTGCATTTACTTGGTGCTTATGGGATCCTGGTAATCTTTCTTTGTTAGCACATGATGAATATACAATAGCTTATTCTATCAGTTTCTCATTGCTGGGCACACTAGTTTTCAACTTCTTTTGCATTTATATATATATATATATATATATATATTTGTTTTGTTTTGTTTTTTTCGAGACAGGGTTTCTCTGTGGCTTTGGAGGCTGTCCTGGCACTCGCTCTGTAGACCAGGCTGGCCTCGAACACATTTATATATTTATTATTTATTATTGAGACAGGGTGTCACTATGTAACTCTAGCTGGCCTAGAAATCCCTCTGTAGACTAACCTCAAACTCACAGAGATCTAATTGCCTCTGCCTTCAGAATGCTGTGATTGAGGACATGTGCCACCAGGCCTAGTGAATGTCACACTTCACACTAAGGCAGAGGCATCCAGGAGTTTTCAAGTCACTTAACTATACATATCAAGTCATTGGCTAAGGGGCTAGCCTTGTATATGTTTGTTTGTGGTGGGAGGTCTTCACTGTGAGTCACTGAGAATGGTTGTTTTCATAGGTATAGGACTGTGATTGTGTCTGTTTGTGGCGTGTTGGGGGTGACAGCCAGGAGATAGTAAGTGGCTAGCTTTGTTCTTAGAGGATCATTGAGTCTCCCGTTGTGATGGGGCAGACAGGATGCTCCCATGGGCTGGGCTTCACAGCCTCTTTTGGGCTGCTCTCCATTCAGGATGGCTGGAATATCCTCAACTTCTTAATTGTCTTTATCTTGTTCATGGGGTTCTTCATAAAACAACTTAATATAATTGCCGTCACCTACCCTCTCAGGTGAGTTGAGAGCTCTGAAGGTAAGAGGGGTGTCTGTCTGGACCCCAGGAGTGAGAAGGAAGTAGTCACCACCTGGGGCTCAGCCCTGCCTCTTTGGGAAGCTGGTGGGAGGGAGGCAACAAGGAGGAAGGGGTCTGGGAAGGGTCAAGGGGCACCCTGAGAGACTCTGCCACAGGGCACTTCGGTTGGTACATGTGTGCATGGCGGTGGAGCCCCTAGCCAAGATCATCAGGGTCATCCTGCAGTCGGTGCCGGACCTGGCCAACGTTGTGGCCCTCATCCTCTTCTTCATGCTGGTCAGTATCTCCCAGGCCCCAGCCTGTCTCCTTCCCTGAATAGAACCTGTAGGGAAGTAGGTAGGGATAGATGCCCAGAGAAGCAAAGGGCTTGGGACCGAATCCTTGTGGGTCCCTGGAAGCATTTATTTGCATTAGTTTGTGTATCTTGTCAAGTTCCAAGGCCACTGGGTGAGGTTAGGTGGGTCTTGGTCTCTTTGGCAGGTATTCTCTGTGTTTGGGGTCACACTCTTTGGTGCATTCGTGCCCAAGCATTTCCAGAACATGGGGGTTGCCTTGTATACCCTCTTCATCTGCATCACCCAGGACGGATGGCTGGACATCTACAGTGACTTCCAGTGAGTACAGGTGGCGTTCTTGGGCTTTATCCCCTTCTGGCTAGGGCAGGGCTGGAGTTCCAGCAGGTGAGGCAAACTATGAGAGGGGGTTCCTGGGACCTGGATGAAACTGGCCTCACAGGAAGTGAATACCCAAGGAAATCATGGGGCAGTGTCTTTGGTTTTGTGGTACTTGAACCTTGTTGCCATAGAAGCTTCACACATTCGCAGGGCCACCTGACCCTGTCCATGGAGACATGCTGCATAGCTGTGTGGCCCAACCTTGGGCCAGGGAGCAGGTAGGTGGTTGTGCCTGAGGTTACTAGGCCACCTCCAGCTTGCACCAGAGCACAACAAACCACCTAGAGTCCTAGGAAGTCTGGGCTTCCATCCACTCATTCTCAGACCTGCTCCCCAAGGTCATTTTTGTGTTCTAGTCTTTGCTTCTTGTCAAGTTCAAGTCCAATTTCATCCTACCCCACTCCCCTTTGTGAAGTAGAAGCCAAATAGGCAAAGGGTTTCTTTAGTCACAGGTAGTGGAAATCCCAGCATTCAGAGGCAGGTGAATTAGGAGTTCAAGTTAATTGCAGCTAACCTGGGCTGCAATAAGACCCTGTTTCTGGGCTGGAGACATGGCTAAGAGGTTAAGAGCACTGGCTGTTCTTCCAGAGGTCTTAAGTTCAATTCCCAGCACCCACATGGTGGCTTACAGCCATCTATAATGAAATCTGGTGCCCTCTTCTGGCCTGCAGGCATACAAGCAATTAATACTAAATAAATAAATAAATAAATCCTCTTTCAAAGAAGAAAAAGGGGGCAGGGGTAGGAGAAAGGCACCTGGGGATGGGACTTAGTTGGTAGAGTGTTTGCCTAGCCTAAGTTCAATCCCCAGAACCACACAAACCAAGACTGGTGGCATTCACCTATACTGCACAGTCTGAAGCCAGCCTGGGCTAACCTGAGAACTAGCCTAAAATATAAAAATAAAAGAAAGCTGGCATGGTGGCACACGTCTTTATTCCCAACGCGTAGGAGTCAGAGGTAGGTGCCTCTCTGTGAGTTCGAGGCCAGCCTGGTCTATGTGAACTGCACAGTGAAGCTGCACTAGGCTTTTGAGCACTTTCCCCTGCACTGGCCCTGTGACATTCAACAAACTGTCCCACTGTTGGCCTCAATCTTGAAGTGATCTTCCTGCCTTAGTCTCCTAAGTGCTGAGATTACAGATGCGGGCCATCAAGACCAGCTTATGTATTTATTTACTTATGTATTTATTTACTTATGTATTTGCTTATGTATTTTGGAGTTCTGGGCCTTAGCATGCTAAGCAGGCCTTCTACTACTAAGCTATAGCTCCAATGTCTAGCATTTTTTTTTCTGGTTTTTCAAGACAGGGTTTCTCTGTGGCTTTGGAGGCTGTCCTGGAAAGCTCTGTAGACCAGGCTGGCCTCCAACTCACAGAGATCCACCTGCCTCTGCCTCCTGAGTGCTGGGATTAAAGCCGTGCGCCACCAACACCCGGCACATTTAGCTTTTAAAAGCCGGAGGGGCTTGATTTGTCTGTTTTATTTTTGTTTTTAAGTGGAGTCCAGTATAGCCTAGGATAGCCTTGAACTCCTCCCTCTTCCCAAATGCTAGGATCGAAGTCATGCATCACCACACCCAGTTTATGCTGTTCTGGGGCTTTGTGCATGCTAGGCAAACATTGTTTTTTTTTTGGAAAAAGGAACTCAGGTGACCCAGGCTACTTCTACTTCCCAAGTGCTGGGATTCTTATCTTCAGTTAGACTATAGTGCAATATTGCCTACCTCATAGAGTGCCATGGGGATCAGTCTATAAAATCTATAGAGCTCTTCTAAAATGCAGCTCAGCATAGAGTGCTTCTGTTTATCGTCTATGTAAGTATAGCTTGCACTTGCTAGTGTGACATACACCCTTGTAGGACTGGTTTGAGAGTTGACCTCGCTGTCTGGCTGCACAGCAGGTCTCAGTAAAGAGCTGCTTCTGCGACCAGCAGGAGTGGGAAATATAATTCCCTTGTTTTAAAGATGAGGAAACTGAGGCTTAAAGGGCCAGGGAAATGACGGAGCTCCTGACTGCCGTCCCCAGGATGGACGATAGAGAGATCGCCATGGAGGTTGGAGGCGCTATCTACTTTGCCATCTTCATCACCATCGGTGCTTTCATCGGCCTCAACTTGTTTGTCGTCGTTGTGACCACAAATCTGGAACAAATGATGAAGTTAGGGGAGCAGGGACAACAGCGAAAGATAACTTTTAGTGAGGTGCGTGGGATGGGGGAGGACAGGAGGGAGGAGAGTGTGTGCATGAATGACGTGTGTGTTTGCACACTCAAGTGCATGGAGAATCCAAAACCTGAAGGCAAGACCTCAACATCTGTAATGTTCACTCAGTGACTGAGGCTCCTGGGGGCTGGGTATGGCTTCCTAGATGCACCATGATAATTCAAAGTGAAGCAATGGGGTGGCTTCAGGACATTCACCCAACTGCACTCTGAAGTTCTTCCCTACGATGGGGATAATAGTACTCGCTTACCAGGGTCCTCATGAGAATCATATAGGATCTGATGAGTGCTTGTAAGTCAGAGCTCACAAATGAACTGGAGAGCTGGCTCAGTGGTTAAGAGCACTGATTGCTCTTGCAGAGGACGTGGGTTTGGGTCCCAGTATCCACATGACCACTCAACTACTGTTTGTAACTCCAGTTCCAGGGATTCATAGCCACCTTCTGGTCTCCATGGGCATTGCATGTATATCGTATTCTTACATACATGTGGGCAAAACATTCATACACATAAAAATAAATATTGGCTGGGTGTGGTGGTACACGCCTTTAATCCCTGCAGAGGCAGGTGGATCTCTTAGAGGTCAGCTTGGTCTTCAGAGTGAGTTCAAGCCAGGGTACACAGAAACCCTGTCTTGAAAAGCAAAACAAAACAAAGAGAAGAAAAGAAAAAAAAAGAACTTAATAAATGCTAGCTACCCAGTATTTACTTGGTACAACTTGTAAAAGGTGGAGGGTGGAGAAGGAAGTGAAGTACTTTAGAAAAGTCAGAGGGCCAGACCATCATCACGTCACAGTGGGAGCGTCTTAATGGTTTGCTGGGGTGACTATTTCCACAGAGATTTGAGAGGGACTTGAAACTGAGTTATCAGTCAGGTAGGGAGGTTAAGATTGACTGAAGCTGTGGTAGGGTGCTTGCATAGCTGGCTGGAGGCCCTCGGTTCCAACCCAACATGCACATATAAAATAAAATAAAATAAAAATGTTATTAGGTTAAGAATCCTAAGAAACTCACCTTCCCCGAAGTCACATGACCCTGAGCTGTCTGCCCTCTTCCATCCACTGTCCCCAGATAGGCACAGATGAAGACGACTTTGTTGACGACCTGCCACTGGTGCATTGCATAGAAGCCCGCAAGGAGACATCTGGTCACCCTCAGGAGCCTCTGGTTGGGGGTCCCCTGTTCAACCTCACAGAAAAGACTTGCGATAATTTCTGCCTGGTGCTTGAGGCAATACAGGAGAACCTGATGGAGTACAAAGAGATCCGAGAGGAGCTCAACATGTAGGGGAGGGCGCTGGGGAGGCAGAGCTGGGCCTGGCCTCAAGCCTGTTGTCGAAGTAACTTGCCCAGAGTTCAAGCTTCCCAGTTTGGGAGCTGCTGTCCTGACCTTTGGTCGTGCCTTTCTCCTAGGAGGGGCCTGGGTCTCCCTTGGGATGGTTCTGAAGCAATGAGGGAGGGATGGAGGAGGAGGAGGAGGGGGCACACCAGGGAAGAGACTGAAAGAAAAGCAATGTCTCTTCTACCCCAGGATCGTGGAGGAGGTACGCTCCATCCGTTACAACCAGGAGCAAGAAAAGGAGATACTGCTTAGGCACGTCTCCAAAAGCCTGTCCTCCCAGACTGAGTCCTCCTTAGACATGCGTGAGGTGGCTACCCAGCAAGACTTGATCACTGCACTGGTCAGCAGGGAAAGGGTGAGCATTTGCCTTCTCCACCTAAGCAACCCCCCAACTCCCACCCGGTACACACACACACACCAATACCCCGACAGGCACCATAGCCAAGATTTCCTTCCTCTTCCTGTGGACCCTCCAAAATTCCCACTTATCTCAGCCGGCACCACCATTTTGCCTGCTCAGAGAAGCCCTGCCTCCTCCCACCAGGCTCCTCCCTAGGAGCATTCACCCCCCCCCCAGCACCTACAGACTTATCTTTTCTTAGAGTGGCTTTTACCAGCTTGACTCTTCCTTGGAAACAGGTGCTTAGTCCCACTGGGAAAAAGGACCCCTGTCAACCCAACTAGGGTGCACGGGAGCAGTGCGTGCGTGCGTGTGTGTACATGTGCCTCTTATCTCATGGAGCTGGAGTGGAATGGAGTCTTGAGAATGCCTGAGCTCCCCAGTTCAGAGTGGGTTCTAGGCATGCTAGAGTTACCCAGATGGGGCAGCTGTTGAGGCAGGAGGAGGAAGAGGCGGTCTGTCCTGTCAAGGTAAGTAGGATGACAAAAAGACCTCTCTGTTTGCAGGTTCATGATTCTAACACAAATATGCTTAGCAAACACAAGTTCAGCTTCTGAGAAGGCAGAATGGGAGCCAAGGGGCCTGCACACTCACGGGGCCAGCTGCTGCATCAGCCTGCATCCCTAGTTGGAGCCCATCCCTCTCCCTTACGCCTGGGTGGCCGAGGCCATGGGGCTGGGATGGTGGCAGCACCTTCACGGCTTATGCCTGTGAGCCTGAGGTCCAGATGAGTCCGGGATAAAGGATTCTGGATGAGAATGGAAGCCCCACAGCAAGGATGAGCACACAAAGGGGTGGCCAGGCTTTGGCATAAGGATGAGTATCCCTGGCCTGTGTGCCAGTTGGAGCTGGGTGAGGCCTGGGTGGGCCCAAGCACTGAAAAGAGCCAGGCCAGTAAGGCTGTGTGCACTGAAATAAAATTCTGTGTTATAATCAATGTGTCTGACTGGTTAGTCTCAACCTGTTTCACACCCTTGCCTTTGGTCTACTAGGGAAGATAGATCATGCTTCCTCAAAGCCTGTTCACATGGGGCATGGTGACTCACACATTATTCTCAACACTGGCGAAGTAGAGGCAAGAAGATCAAGAATTCAAGGGCATACTCAGCTATACTAGTAGGACAGCCTGGGCTACATGGGACCTTGTCTCACACAAAACAAAACAAACACAAAACAAATACAAAACTAAACACCCATTTGTGCTGAATGTGGTAGCATAAGCACACAGTCCCAGAACCTGGGAGGCTGTGAGACTGGAGGACTGAGGAGATGCGGAGGCTAGCCTGGGCTTCACAGGACCTTGCCTGTGGCCTGATGAACCCCTTAAGGGCTTCCAATCCAATGAGGGAGGGAAAGTTATCCCCCTGATCAGTTTGACTTTAATGGTAGAGACATAACCCCTGACCTTAGAATCCTAAATATGGGGTGAGGGTGCTGTTACTGGACTTCATTGTTGGGAGACCCTGTCAGATGAAAGAGTCTCTCCTCTCCTCTCCTCCCCTCTCCTCCTCTCCCTCCCTGTCTGAAGGTGATAGTTGGTCCTCACCCTAGGGAGCTCTTGTCTGATAGGGTCATCACTGACCAAGCTTTACCCTCGGACATCAAAGGGTGGCTGGTTAGAGCATGAGCCCCCAAAGGCCTCCTGGAGAAGAACACTGAGGCATGCTGGGAGGAAGTGGGAGGATTTTGTGGGTCTAGTAAAGTCTGGGGGGGGAGAACTTAGTGCCTGTGGCTGGAGTAGTAGCTGAGAGCTTACATCATGACCTGCAAGCATGAGGCAGAGAGATAGATACTGGGCATGGCGGAGCTTTTGAAATCTTTTTCTGTGGTTTTTTTTTTTTTTTTTTTTTTTTTGAGACAGGGCTTCTCTGTGTAGCCTGGCTGTCCTGGATTAAGAGCATAAGCCACCACTCCCAGCTAGGTTTTCAAAATCTCAAAGCCACCCCCAGTAACACACCTCCTCCAACAAGGCCACACCTCCTCCAACAAGACCACGCCTCCTCCAACAAGGCCACGCCTCCTAACCCTTCCCTAACAGTTCCACCCACTGGGGGCCAGGCAGTCTAACATGTGAACTATGGAAACAGTTCTCATTCAAACCACCACAGAGAAAGCTGGATCAGCCTGAGCAAAAGATCTGGGTTCTCAAGTGTCAACTGGCAACCCTGAAGGTAGAAGACCAATATCCTCGACACCCTGAAACTCTGCTGGTGGTGACAGGGAAGGTGTGTGGCCAGAGCTGTGTGCTCTGCTGTTCAGGGGCCTTGGGGACATTCCCTAGCTGGAACTGCGGTTCCCAGGGGTCCACTGATTGCAGCTGATGGGAAACCCTACCTTACCCCGCCCCTGACTCTGCATCAGCACTGGATCTAACTCTCAAAAGCCCCCGAGGTCCACAGTGTGGGCAGGGTGCTCAGCGGGCAGAGAGGTGGCACCGGTGACAACAATACCAAGCTGTCTTGCAGTCTAACTCTTGATTTGGGCCAGAGCTCCTTCCTAATGCTCCCAGGACCATCCACCAGCATAGACATGGGCAGCTGCTGGCTCCTGCTGCTTCTGCTGCTCCTAAGTAGGGAAAGAGTCTTCAACCTGCCCAGTAAGTACCCAACACCCTTCACGTCCTGCCCTTTAGCTTCTGACTGGCCAGAGGGGGGAAGAAAGTGCTAAAATCCAGGAAAAACCTCTTGGGTTGCTAAGGGAAGCTCAGCCACTCCCTAACTAACCTCTTCAGCTGTCTAAAGGGTGTGGGGGAGAGGCACCAGTTTTAACGACAGAATGACCTCCATGCCTCTGGCCTCTCCCGTGCATTTCTACCAGGGCGCTCTGTCTGCCTGCTCCATCTTGTCTGTCTTCTCATTTGTCTTTCTGTCTGTCCTGTGATGGGTTAATTGCTTGGGCTGTCAGCAGGCTGAGGGCTCAGGTGTTCTGACTTTGTTGCTTTGCGATTCTCTGTCAAGCGGTCTGCCGCCTCATAGTTTAGGAAAAGAAGGCATTCTGGGCTCTGAGTTCCTAGGTCGGTATGAGGGAAGACACAGGCAAGACACTGTGTGACAGAAGCTCCTGGTGCGACAGTAGCTCCCCAGGTCCACGGCTTTGACCAGGGCTGGGAGCCTCCTTGGTAAAACCCTGAAAGCAGCAGTGGGCTGGGGGAGCCATGACCCCAGGAGCAGAGCCCACGCGTGTGGTGCTGGCGTGTGCCACACACTGAGTGAAGCCTGCCTTCCCTTGCTTTATCTCAAGACTCTCAGGGTCACAGTGAAGCAGGTACTGTACCAGCATCCCTGCTTTGCCGTGGTAGAAACTGGGACTCAGAGTCACATGTTGACTTCCACGTGTGCTCCCAAGCACACAGTAGGGATTGTCCCCAGGTCTGACTCCAGAGTCTAGGTCACACTGCATTGCTAAAGGCAGGGAATCTCAATTACCAGGAAGATTTTCAGGAAAATTTAAATTTCCAACCTATTTCCAAATAAAATCCCAACTGGGGTTTGTAGTCTAAAATAAGTTGACTGCCCTGTGTAAGAAAGAAAGAAGGAAGCTGACGGTAGCAGCACACACCTGTAATCCCAGAACTTGGGAAGTAGAGGCAGGAGGATCAGAAACTCAAGGTCACTCTAGGCTACAGTCTCAAAGAACCCAAAAAGGCTGTGTGTCCTGTGTCTGTGTGTGTGTGTGTGTGTGTGTGTGTGTGTGCGCGCGCGTGTGCGTGCGTGTGTGAAGAAGTCTGAAGAGCAACTGATATAGTCAGATCAAGTATGGTGGTACATGCTTGTAATCCCAGCCCTGGGGAGGTAGAAGAGTCAGGCATCAGACCTTATAGAGAATAGAGAAGTGTAGGGGAAGGTAACAGCTCACTGAAAGCCCAAGCTATTACCCAGGTGTCCGAGGCCCTGGAGCCAGAGTTACAGGCCATTGTCAGCCATGCAACATGGGCAGTGGGGGCAGAGCTTGGTCCTGCGGAGGAGCATCAAGTGCTTTTAACTGTGAGCTATCTTGCCAGCCTTCCCACTCCCCTGCAATTTTTTGAAGACCAAAACGGGAGACTAGAGGTAGAGGTGGGGGAAATGTAACCTACCAAACACTGACACTTTTTAAAAGTTGACAGTCAGAGGATGTGGTGTCGCTGCAGGGATACAGAAGTAGAGCAGCTGACGGAAAGACAGCATGGAGCTCTGCTGGCTGCAGAATGACAGCTCAGCATTATAGATCAGTGGGGCAACATGACCACTTTTACTTTTGCTGAGTATGAAGTCAGACCAGGTATGATAGTACATGCCTATGATCCCAGCCCTGGGCAAGTGGGGGATCTGGATTTCAAGGTCAGCTGGACTACCCTGTTACACAAAAAAAGAAAAAAAAGCATGCAGTCTGAGCTGATGGAGATAGGCCTCCTTGCAAATAAAAACACGAGTCCCTCTAAGAAGTCATAGCCTGGGCTTTTGTGGCTTCTCCAATACTGAGCCCAAGTATCTCACTATGCTGATTGGGACATGGAGACCTGAGCAAGGGGTGGGCTTCCATAAGGTTACACAGAAATATGTAATAGAACAGTTCCCATCCCAAGCCTCTCCACTCTCTGCAAGCATTCCAGGCGGCTGTTTCCCTACTACCACCCCTCAGCTCTGTGCAGATGTTAGAGACAGGTGGGACAGGTCCACGCAGGAGAGGGGTAAGGGCAAGGCCAGTGCCTCTTCAGTGTGTGGATGGGGAGGGCTGCTTCGCCCTCTGAGTCAGCCCTCTGGTAATTGCTAGGAATCTAGAGCCGGGCATCAGGTGACGGCCTGTTTCTGCCCATCGCCCAGGGGAAAGAGCAAGGTGTCCTGGGGACCTAGCTCAGCGCATGTGTGAGGGCTTTCCTCTCAAGGGAGAGTGTGGCTAGCTCAGCCTTGGAAATTTAGTGGTGTTTTTGTAAGGTTTCACGATGCAGTTGAGAAAACAGACTGAGGGTCTGGCTTCAAATGCAGCATCACCACTTCCTTGGGGTGTGGCCTTGGACAGATGTCATTATCTGTTTCAGCCTCACTTTCCACCATCTGGTATGTAGAAATAATAGGCCTTGCCTCAGTGAGAAAAAAGCGTATCAATTCTGCTGTAGACAAAAGAGAGTGAACAATGTCAAGAGTATCCGCAACCACTGGTGCTTTAAAACAAGTTCGTTTTTATTATCAGTGTGTGGGGGTTAGAGTGTGTCATGACTCAGTTATGGAGGTCAGGCGACATGCTTTAAAACAAAATAAATGTTATTACTAACATTATCATTCCCTGCCCTCCCGTGCGTGCGTGTGTGTGTGTGTGTGTGTGTGTGTGTGTGTGTGTGTGTGTGTGTCAGGGTGAGAGTGTACCATGGGGATATAAGTCAGATGACACACCTCAGGAGTGAGTTCTCTCTAACTGGGATTAGCCAGCTCTATGTGGCAAGCGCCTTAACCTGACAAACCATTTTACCAATGCTGCTTTGAAAAAAATTTTAAGAAGTAAAATCGTTGGGGGTTTTGCTTTCCTTTAGCTTTGTTTGAGTCACTATGTAGAACAAGCTGGTCTCCAACTCACAGAGATCGCCTGCCTCTGCCTCCCCATGCTGGGATTGCATATGCCCAGCCTAGGCTGTTGGGGCTTTTGTTTGTTCTTTGTTTTTTGGCACAGGGTCTTGTTATGTAGCCTGGCTGGCCTCCAACTTGCTGCAAGGTACTACTACTCAACTTCCCAGGTGCTAGATTACAGTCATCTGGTACCACATCTGGCTTTCTGTGTATATTAGCAGTTCTCAACCTATGGGTCTCCAGCCCTTTGAGGATTGAACAGCCCTTCACAGGGACCATCGAAGATCATCAGAAAACACAGATATTTACATTATGATTCATAACAGTAGAAAAATTACAGTTATGAAGTAGCAATGAAATAATTTTATGGTCTGGTGTCACCACAACATGAGGAACTGTATCAAAGGGCCAAAGCATTAGGAAGGTTGAGAGCCACCGGTGTGTATGGTACTAAGGATTGAAGCCAAGGCCTCAAGGTTGCTAAGAAAACTTTCTACCATTGATCTGTGTCCTCAGCCTGCTCACATTATTATGGTGCACAACACTTTTGTATCTTTATTTTGTTCATATCTCATTTTTCGTTTTGAATTGTGTGTGGGTAGGTATTTTGCATGAATGTATGTCTGTTTGAGGCTCAGCCTGATCTACAGAGTGAGTTCAAGGGCAGCCAGAGATAACATAGAGAGACCTTCTCTCAAATAACACATAGATAACTAAATTCAAAGTAGGAGATGGTTGGTGAGGTAGTTCAGTGGATAAAATCACTCGCTACCTCATGACCTGAGTTCAAATCCAAGAACCCATGTAAATATGGTAGAGGGAGAGGACCAATCCCTTCGATGTGTCTTCTGACTTCCACATGCTCACTATGGCACACGTGTGCAAGGGCACACATATACACACTAAACAAATTTTCACAAAAATAAGCAATGTAATAGGAAAATAAAGCAAGACGCGTGATTGGCACACAGCGGTAATCTCAGTACACAGCTGGAGGCTGTGGGAACAGAAAGTTCAAGGTCACCTTTAGTTGTGTAGGAAAAGTTGGAGGTGAGTTCTGTGGCACCTGCGCCACAAGCAGGTCTGAGGTATCAGGAAAAGAGAGACAGACGTCCAGCTGTTTGTACTAAGAGAATGCATGTGTTGCCTTTATTGCCAGGAGAATGTGTGTGTGTGTGTGTGTGTGTGTGTGTGTGTGTGTGTGTGTGTGTGTGTCTTCATTGCAAGTGTTAAGAGGTCTCCCCCTTGTAGGAGGGAGGAGCTTTATATACAGGTTTACAGCACAGTGGAAAAACCCCAGGTAGAAGAGAGCATGTTTTCCTCCTGCTGAATGTTGATGTCAGAGGGTCAAGGCCAGGGCAGGAATCCAGGACTAGAAAACAGGATGGACTTGTACCTTGTGGGGGCTGGGGCCCAACATCTACCCCCTTCCCCCTTCTTTATATATATAAATTAGCACCTATCTCAGGTGGCTAAGATGTTAATGCCAATCTTAGTATCAATAACCAACCCTGTATAAATGTAAACAAACATTTATAAACAATATTTGGGAATGTGGGCGTTGTTCTTTCCAAACTACTTCCTGCTGTTAAGGGGCGCTGAAATACCATGGGGATCATGATAAAAAACAAAACCAAACCCAGAAACCTGTTGAAGTTCTTGTTTTTGTGGTCTGTAAGGCTGCATCATCTCAGCTGTTTTAGGTGTTGGATCACCTGGGCCACTGCTTCCGGAGGTCTTGTTTCATCAAACCATACTAGTCTGGAAGGAACCCACAGCCTTTTATGTTCTGTGGAAACAAAAGCAGAAATTCTTTTCCCAAGTAACCTGTCCTTATATTTAAATTTAGAAGTCAAAGCATTTTTAAAATATGTAAGTTGGATTAATTTAGCAACAGTAATAATCAAATGTCTTTTAGCAGTTTTTGTTCCTTTCTTAGCAATTAAACAATTTAAAGACCCAACTATACACAGTATCCAGACTCTCTGTGTAGTTTTCATTCTGTATACTTTAATCTTTTCCTTTTCTTTTACTTAATACCAGTACCTCGTTTATTAACTGTTACCAATTTTCAATTTACCCACTTTTAATCCATCTTCCAGCTGAGGGTGATCTCTCAGGTTCTCCTTTCTTTCCCAACCTTGGTGTCAGGCGAAGGCCTGGAGATTTAATCTAATCCACCCTCCAACCTAGGGTGATCTCTTAGGTTCCCCTTTCTTTCCTGACCTTGGTGTCAGGTGAAGGCCTGGAGATTTAATCCAATCCACCTTCTCCCTAGAAGGTGATCTCTCAAGCAAAGCCTGGAGATTTGACCATTCAATTTTACTTTTAGAAGTTGAGGTACCTATTTTTAATTCTTTTCTTTCTCCAGTCTCTCCTCTCCTGAGTCTTCTTTCTGGCCAATCTTTCTCAGTCTTTTTAAGTCTTTTTGGATCTCGGTGGGACCTCCAATTGCGGTGCCCATGCAACAAGCAGGTCCGAGGTATCAGGAAAAGAGAGAGAGACATCCAGCTGTTTGTACTAAGAGAATGCCTTTATTGCCAGGAGAATGTGTGTGTGTGTGTGTGTGTGTGTGTGTGTGTGTGTGTGTGTGTGTGTCTTCATTGCAAGTGTTAAGAGGTCTCCTCCTTGTAGGAGGGAGGAGCTTTATATACAGGTTTACAGCACAGTGGAAAAACCCCAGGTAGAAGAGAGCATGTTTTCCTCCTGCTGAATGTTGATGTCAGAGGGTCAAGGCCAGGGCAGGAATCCAGGACTAGAAAACAGGTTGCACTTATAGGCTGACCAGCAACTCACAGAGACCCCCTGGGGCTGGGAACCAACAAGTTCAACTATACAAATGAAAACCCAAAAAGCTGGGCATAATGTCAAGTACTTACAATCCCAGAATTTAGGAGGCAGAGGCAGGAGAAAGGCCACAGATTCCAGGTCAGTTTAGGTTACAACATAGGGCTTCCTAGTGAGACCCTTTCTCAACCAATAAAAAAGAACACTTGCCTAATGTACACAAGGCCTTGAGTTTGATCCCCCAGCACTGCAAAAATAAAGCAGAACTGGTTTCCACTTTTTTACCAACTGGAGTAGATCTTAACCAAATGAGACAGTCACCCACAGAGTAACAAACTCTCTCTTCTCTGGCATGTATCATTTTTAAAAAATTAATAATTGTATTAATTCTTTGAGACTTTTATACAGTGTATCCCCTCCCCCCAACTCCTCCCAGGCCTTTCCTCCTTACTTTACTTTGTGCTCTTTTTGTTGTTGTTATTTGGAAGACATCATATCAAAGCAGACATCTTGGTCCTCTGGCTCTTACCCTCTTTCCATGCCCTCCTCTCTGAGCCCTGGGTGAAGGGGGTGTGGTACAGATGCATCCAGGTCAATTCTCTGTGTTTTGGCTGGTTGCGGCTTTCTGTGGTGGTGCCCATCTGCTGCACAAAAAGTTCCGTAGATGAGTGCGAGCTGCCCTTGGGTGAGGTTAGGAGGGTGTGTGCTTAGAATGCAGTATGGAAAGCAGCAGCAGTAGACTCTCCAGCCAGCATCTGAAACCATCAGGGAGAGCTGGCACATACTTCGTGTGAGCTTGATATGTGGACGAGCTGTTAGGTCTCCTCAGTAGGAGACTGGGGGGAGAGCACCGGGGAAGAGGAGGAATGACGGGTTGGTGTCGTCATTTTTGTTGCTGTTGTCATCTCCACAGACAGTGCCTCAGTCTGGGTGCTTGCCTCACACTCACCCTCCACAAACGACTCTGTGGTTAACAGAAATCTGTCCTGCCCGTCCACAAGTGCAAGTATGCCTCACAGTGTGAAAGGCCCTTACTCCACAGAAGAATCTAACAGCTCATCAGTGACTGAGACACCCACATCTAAGTCCCAAGATCAGACGACATCACCTCCTCTTCCAACATCACCCCAGGGCAGAAGCACAGCAGGGCCTACTGCGAAGATGACCTCAACAGTGCGCACACCTGTAGTGACGATCACTACTAGCATGTCACTGTCAGATTCCACAGTGACCTCTACAGTAAAGGAATCCATAGGGACATCCAAAACTACAGTTTTGTTCAGCTTGACCACTTCAACTGAGACCACACAACTGAATCAAACTCCAACCTCAGGATCCCTGGACAAAGTCAGTGACACAAACAAACCTTCACCCATGACAACCATGGCAGTTACAAACACCTCTTCACCTACCACAGCAATCCCAAGGACAACTGTTCTTAATACAGCCACAACTGAGACTCAGGAAAGGGACACTACAGCTGTACCCCCAACCCTAGGAACAATCTATACAATGGACAAGTCACCAGACACCCACCAGAGCACTGTCACACAGACACATTCCCAGCCAGCACAGATGACGTCTGATGTTAGCACAAGTCTAGGGACAACTCCATCAGCACCAAAGTCCAAAACCACTGGGTTGGGATCATCAATGTCCCCAAGCCCTGGGGACACTGATAGGACCGTGATGACACCTTCAGCGACACTGGTGTTAAGCACACCAGAGCATGCCACCCCACCATCTGGAAATGGGACACCCACTGTTCCTGAGAAGTCAACTTTAACTCTACCCTCATCAACACTGAAGAAAGTCAGTGACACAAACAAACCTTTACTCATGACAACCATGGCAGTTACAAACAACTCTTCACCCACCACAGCCATCCCAAGGACAACTGTTCTTAGTACAGCCACAACTGAGACTCAGGAAAGGGACACTACAGCTGTACCCCCAACCCTAGGAACAATCTACACAATGAACAAGCCACCAGACACCCACCAGAGCACAGTCACACTGACACGTTCCCAGCCAGCACAGGCAGGCTCAACAAGCATAGGCACTGCTACAACTCAATCACCTGAGCATTCCACAGCCCTTATCCATAGCTCCTCAGACATAACCAAATCCCCCACTACGATTGGGACCAGCCCAGCATCCCCAAACTCTAGCCAGAGTAGTGGTCTGGGAGGTGGTGCCTGTGCTTTGGATGAGTATCCAGACAGCGCTGGAGCTTGTATGTGCAATAATAGCTACTATTCCCACCTGGGTAAGTCTGATTAATCCTTCTAGGAAGTCTGTTGCTGCTGTTTCTTCTCCTCCTCCTCCTCCTCTTCCTTATCTCTTGCTCCTTTACTTTAATTTTATTGCATGGCTGTGACTATGTTAATTTAAGAACATGGATAATGAGTGTGAAGAAATCAGATAAACAGCAGGGGCTAGTCCAGTCAGGAAACTCTGTGCAAAGAAGTTGGAAGACATGAGCATGAAATGAGTGCATTCAAAGATGGCTGCACAGATGAGCCGGTCTGCCCTGCCCTGGCCCCGGCCCTCAGGACCTGAACTGCTGTCCAGGTACTTAAGGGGCATTGCAGGCATGTATGGCATGCCAGGCTTTATGTATATAAATGAGAGAAAAATTGGAGAATAAACAAATTAGTCCCTCAGAACCCCAATCTTGGGAGACATGTTAGAGACATCAGCTGCCTTCACCAAAGTCAGTGTGTTTCATTGAGGCCCAGGCCAGTCTTCCTTGGTTCCCTAGGGACTTCAAAGTGAAGATCGTGGCAGGAGTCTCAGCCACCTCCTTTTTTTTTTCTTACTTTTGCAGCTCTGCCTGTAGACTTCTGCCCCTTTATCCACTGGCGCAACTCTCAGGATACCTGGCTCCAGGTCGGGACCCACATCTCCCAAGCTTTGCTGTTGAGTCGAGAGGTCTCTTAGTCCAGAACTGGCCTGGTCACTGAGATGAGCTGCAGCTCCTGCTCATCCTGCCTCTGCCTCCTAAATTCTGGGATCACAGGCATCTGCCATCATGCCTCATTCGTGTGGCACTGGGGAACAAATTATGGCAGGCGAGCTAGCTCTCTGCCAATGAAGCTACGTTCCCAACCCCCACAGTAGCTTTGAGGCCAGACACTAATTCTTGGAAAAGAGATCCTAAGTACCTGTAGAGTCTAGGAATCAGGATCCCATAGCACAAGGGATGGTCCTTGGGATCCACATATGTGAGAATCTGTGTGTGTGTGTGTGTGTGTGTGTGTGTGTGTGTGTGTGTGTGTGTTTTGAAACAGGGTTTTCTGTTCCAGGCTGCCCTGAAACTCACTCTTTAGACCAGGCTGGCCTCAACTCTCAAACTCACAGAAGTCTGCCTGCCTCTGTCTCCTGAATGCTGGGATAAAAGACATGCACTACCACACACCAAGATATGCTTACAATTTTAATAATTTGTGTGTGTGTGTGTGTGTGTGTGTGTGTGTTAGGGGATACACATGCTATGGTGTACATGTTTGTTTGTTTTTTTTTTTGGTTTTTTTAGACAGGGTTTCTCTGTTTTGGAGGCTGTCCTGGAACTCCCTCTGTAGACCAGGCTGGCCTTGAACACTCAGAGATCTGCCTGCCTCTTCCTCCTGAGTGCTGTCTTCTACTCTTGTGTGGGCTCTGGGAATTGAACTCAGGTCTCCATGGCAAGCCTTTATCTACTGAGCCATTTTGCTGGCTGTTTAAGGGAGTCTTTTTGGACCAATATCCCCTGTCTTCTTCACCCACCTGAGAAATTGTATTCCTTCTCATGACATCATCCCAGGATCCTCAGGACACCCTGCCCCTGGCTCTTGTTCCCCTGCAGAACTATCCAGGGAGATAGGGACCCTGCGCTGCAGGCCACAGGACATTGAGGTGGCTCTGAGGACCTGTTTCCTGAAGACTCACCATTGGGTCCTGAAGAAAGATGCCTTCTCGAGTTGTTCCAGCATCAATACCACAGAACAGGGTCGCCGGGTCCAGGTCTTTCATTTGATGAAGAAGGAAGGGACTTGTGGGCTCCACATCTCTGTAAGCGGACCTGCAATTTAAGGGAAAGGGTAAAGCTGCGGGGGCGGAGCTGGGAATGCTGGGGGCGGGGCTAGACTGCTGGGGGCGGGGCCGGGACAGGAGAAGTTAGGTAACTCTTGACTTGGGTGGACTCAAATCTTAGCCATCAGACCAGTCTTGTTGAAGAAAACGGTCAAGCTGTTTCCAGAATGGGAATGCCTTTACACTTGCTGTGTTTGCTGGATTGGGGTATTGGTTCCTAAAGTGTCAGCCATGAAACGCTTTAAAATAGTATCCACAAGCAGTTATTTATTGATTACTGGCCAATTGCCATGTCTATTAATTCATTTTTAATGGTTCTAATCTTGAGAGGCTCTCGTTATAGGTGAGTAATCCATAACTCAGAGAAATTAAGGGATTTTCTCAAATTGCAGTATGAACTTGAGGTAATCCTCTTGCCTCAACCTCCTGGGATTACATGCTTTCACAACTATACAGAGACTAGTTTTATAATCAAAAAATTCACATAAATAATAGTACACAACAGTGCCCCTAAAGTCCCAGATCCCCTGATCAGAACTTCTCTCTCTTCTCTCTCTCTCTCTCTCTCTCTCTCTCTCTCTCTCTGTCCTTCCTTCCTTCCCTCCTTCCTTTTCAGTGCTAGGGAGACTTAATGTATGCTAGGTAAACACCCTAAAACTGAGATACAACCCCAGCCCTAGGAATTCTTTTCTAAAATTTATTTATTGAAATATACAGTCTCGCCGGGTGTTGGTGGCGCACGCCTTTAATCCCAGCACTCGAGAGGCAGAGGCAGGCGGATCTCTGTGAGTTCGAGGCCAGCCTGGTCTACAGAGCTAGTTCCAGGACAGCCGCCAAAGCTACACAGGGAAACCCTGTCTCGAAAAACCAAAAAAAAAAAAAAAAAAAAAAAGAGAGAGAGAGAGAGAAAGAAATATACAGTCTCACTATGTAGCCTTGGCTGTCCTGGAACTTACAGAGATCCACTTACCTCTGCCTTCCAGTTCTGGGATTAAAGGTATGTGCCACCACACCCTGCCCAAACTTGGAGAGCTTTTTTTCTTTTTGAGACAGGATCTGTGTGGCACTGGAACTCCCTAGGTAGACCAGGTTGGCCTCCACTTCCCCAATGATGGGGTTTAAGACATTACATTCAACTCAGACTCAGAATTCTCATTCTCTCTCTCTGTTTCTCTCTCTCTCTCCTCCCAGAGACTAGAGACAGGATTTCATTGTGTAGCCTTGGCTGTCCTGGAACTTGATATGTAGACCAGGCTGGCCTTGAACTCATAGAGATCCACCTGCCTCTGCCTCCAGAGTGCTGGAATTAATTAAAGGTGTATACCACCACTGGTGAGCCAGACTTAGAATTTTTGTTGTTGGTTTTTTTGTCTGTTTGTTTGTTTGTTTTTCAAGACAGGATTTTTCTGTAGCTTTGGATCTGTTCTAGGACTTGCTCTGTAAACCAGGCTGGCTTCAAACTCACAGATATCTGCCTGCCTCTGCCTCCCAAGAGCTGGGATTAAAGTACACCACCACTGGCCAGCCAGACTTAGAATTCTTAACAGCTCATGTTGGCATTTTGGGCGGATCGGGATGGGTCAGGTATTCTGGCACTTGGGAGTCACAGAATATTGAGTATTACACAGCTCAGGTGGAAAAGCATCCTGGAACTAGGGAGCCACAGAATACTGAGTGTTACACAGCTCAGGTGGAAAGGTATCCCGGAGCTCAGGAGCCAAGGACCACCACAGGTTGTAGTAAGCTTAGCTGCTTACAGCCCAGCCTCAGGGAAAGGCTTCCCTAGTGTATCGGCTCTGCTCAGGCAGGACAGGGTCTTCCAGCTGGGGATATTCGCCCAGTTTAACAGTTTTGTTTCTCAGGCGAAGTTGCTACAGTTCAGCTCTGCTCCCAGAGAGTGGAGAGCTGATTGCTAAGAGCTGAGTGTAAGCGTTTCGTCAGGATGGGTCAGGACAGGATGGAACAGGAGTGGGTCAGGTATTCTGGCACTCGGGAGCCAAGGATACTGAGTGTTACACAGCTCAGGTAGAAAGGTATCCTGGAGCTCGGGAGCCAAGGATACTGAGTGTTACACAGCTCAGGTAGAAAGGTATCCTGGAGCTCGGGAGCCAAGGACCACCACAGGTTGCAGTAAGCTTGGCAGCTTACAGCCTTGCCTCAGAGAAAGGCTTCTCCGGTGTATCAGCTCCGCTCCGGCAGGACAGGGTCTTCCAGCTGGGGATGTTCGCCTAGTGTAGCAGTTTTGCTCCGCAGGAGGTTTCTCGGGCGAAGTTGCTACAGTTCAGCTCTGCTCCTGGAGAGCGGAGAGCAGAGAGCAGGGAGCCTGGAGTAGAGTGTAACAACTCCGCTGTGCCAAGGAAGGTTTCCCGGGCAAGTGTTACAGCGCTGCTCGCTCTGCTCTGCTCTGCTCTGCCCAGGGTCGCCTTTGCTCTGTCGCAGCCGCAAAAGAAGATCTTCACCCGAAGCTCATCCAAAGGTGTTTATTGGAAGACAGCTGGACCAGCCAAGTTGAACATACACAGGGTTTATATAGGGATTCCTGGGGTTGGGGAAGTTTTTCCAGAGTAGGGATTGGTCCGATTTCAGTGCTGAGCTCAGATTGGCTAGAGCTCTGCTCCGGGATTGGTTACTTTTTTACACAGGATTAGGGTCAGATTTGGCTCTGGTTTCAGGGCCAAAGTGTGTTTCTTTCTCTGGTCCTTTTTAGCCTTTTGGCTCCAATTTTAGGGCCAGGGTACATTTCTTTCACTGACTCTGATTCCAGGGACAAAGTGTGTTCCTTTGGCACTGGTTTTAGGGTCAGGGTACATTTCTTTGGTTCTGGTTGCAGGGCCAAAGTGTGTTTCTTTGGCTCTGCTCAGGGTGTGTTTCTTTGACTGGTCCCTTTTCCCTACACTGAGAACTGAGAGCCGAGTGTAACAACTCCGCTTTGTGGCAAAAGTGTTACAGCCCTGCTTGCTCTACTCTGTCTGCTTGCTCTGCTCTGCCCAGGGCCACCTCTGCTCTACCGCCACCGCAAAGGAAGATCTTCACCCAAAGCTCATTGAAGGGGTTTATTGGGAGGGAAGAATCCAGGAGAATGACTGCCCTCTCTCTGCCAGAGTGGCGGAGGACAGCTTGGTAGCGGGAACAGACACAAGCTGAACAAACACAGGGTTTATATAGGGATTCTTGGGGGCGGGGAAGTTTTTCCAGGGTGGGGATTGGTCAGATTTTAGTGCTGAGCTCAGATTGGCTAGAGCTCTGCTCGAAGATTGGTTAGTTTTCTGCACAGGATTAGGGTCAGATTTGGCTCTGGTTTCAGGGTGTGTTTCTTTGGCTGGTCCCTTTTCCCTACAGCTCAGTGATCCTATTTTCCCCCCAAGAGATTCCAAACTGTAAATTGACACCTATAAACCCAAAATTGAGAAAGCTAAGGCAGGAGGATCACAAGTCTCAGGACAGCCTGGCTATAGAGCAAGATGCTCTTTCTGAGCTGGAGAGATGGCTCGGCAGTTTAAGAGCTCACATTGTAGAGGACCCGAGTTCTCCCAGCACCAGTTCCAGAACCTCACAATTGTTTAAGATCTGTATCCAGAGTCTCTGCCGCCCTCTTTTGTCCTCTTCAGGAACCTGCACTGTCAAGCATACACTCGGCAGAGAGATACACACATGTACATGATTTTTAAAATAAATTAAGCCTTTAAAATGCTCTCTCAAAAAAACCACCACACTTCCACACCAAAATTAAAAACAGCCTGGACATGGTGGTGCATGCGGATAAGGTCAGCACTTGGGAAGTGGAAACAGGTGAGGGTTCCAGGCCATCCTTGGTTACATAGCTGGAGACTAGTTTGGGCTACATGGTGCCCTGTTGTTGCACCCTCCCCCCATGGGGGGGTCTGTTGACCACTTGTTACTAGGAGCTTTTAGCAAAACACTTCCCATCCCTTCCTCCCAGTAAGTCCTGCATGCAAGTTCCTGTTTATTGTCTAAATGCTAATTCCTGTTTTTGGCCCACCCCTTTGTTGGAGAGCCCTGTGAACATAGGCTTCTGACCTTGGTGTTTTTCCACCATACCTGCCTTTGGTATATAAGGCTCTACCCTTGTAATAATAAATGCCATTCTCCTTGTAAGAATGAGCCGCTGTCTTTGTCTTTATTTTCATTCTTAGCCCTTAGCCTCGGATCATTGTGAAGTATGGTAGCACTGTAGCTACGAACACACTGGCAGCTCGCTACACCCTGTCTTAAAAATAAAGTAAAATAAAATAAAATAAATATTAGCATTTAAGACCCTCTGTTGGCAACTCTCGGTTCAATGCCCAGCACCATATAAGTTGGGCATTGTGACACAAACTGCTAACCCTAGCACTTGGAGATAGAACCAGGCAGGTCAGGGATTCAAGACCATCCTCAGCTACATAGTTGTGAAGATCAGCCTGGTCTATATGAGACCCCCATCTCAAGAAAAGGAACTTAGAACAATGGCATAGGGTTAAAGCGATGGACCCTGGAGTCAGTGTTGTTGGGTTTAGGCTCTGTCACTTGCTTTGGGCATCTTTTAACCTTTCTGAACCTTATTTTACTCTTCTATAAAATGGGGCCAATAATGGAGAGTTAGTTGTGTTCTAGCCACAGTGCCAGACTCAAAGAACTTTAGCTACAGCTTTTCTTTTAATAAGCACCTTGTTGCCAGAGAGGATGAGTGAAGGTGTCAACCCCAGGGACTTGGGGGTAATGTCTGCTCACCTACCTGTCTTTTCTAGACCAACACCAGCCACGCCCTGCACTCTTTGGATGTGTATCTTGAACCGGCTGTCCCTGGCTCCAACCACCCTGGCGTTGGAGTGCTCCACTTCAGCTGTGCATACCCTCTGGTGGTGAATGTCAGCAAGCCTGTCTCCTACCAGGAGGACTCCATTCCGTGAGTTATGTCCAGTCATCTGTCTCTGCAGCTAGACCCTAGGCCACCCGAGTTCTCGTTGCTACCTTGAATCTAGCCAAAGACTCAACACTCTTGAGAAATCATTCCTCATGCTTACTCACCAGATGTAAGCACCTCTTACATGGAGGGAAGACAAGCCGCTCCTGCGAAGAGATGCATTATGGGTTGCTTATGTAAATGACCATGGGGTTAGATAGCTGCTAAGATCTGGGGACCTATGATGTGGCACTTCATCTTTTATGTGGTTCATGAGGAAGGTGAACAGGTCTTCCCCTTGGCTGTGCATTGGTGGCGTACACCTTTAATTCCAGCACTCTGGAGGCAGAGGCAGGTGGATCTCTGTGAATTTGAAGCCAGCCTGGTCTACAGAGCGAGTTCCAGGACACCCTCCAAAACAATGCAGAGAAACCCTGTCTCAAAAAACCAAAAACAAAACCCCCAACAACAACAACAAACAGGTTTGCCCCTCCCCTGGCCATTTTTTCTTTTATATTTATTTATTGTGTGTGTGTCACATGTAAAAGTCTGTTCCGTCTTTCCTCAGATCATCAGGCATGGGGGCGAGAGCCTTTTCACCCACTGAGCCATCTTGCTGACCCATCGTTTTCTCTTCTCTTTCTTAGTACATGTCTGTGGTCTGTGCAGTGTGTGCTAGTCCATGTACATGTGTGTCCATATGGATGTAGACCAGAGGACAGCCTCTGGTATTCCTTAGTCACTTTCCACCTTAGTTATTTATTTTGGGTTTTCAAGACAGGGTTTCTCTGTGGCTTTGGAGGCTATCCTGGAACTCGCTCTGTAAACCAGGCTGGCCTCAAACTCACAGAGATCCACCTGCCTCTGTCTCCCGAGTGCTGGGATTAAAGGAGTGTACTACCATACCAGATTGTTTGATTTTTAAACTCAATTTTGGATTATTTTTATTTTATGTGTATGAGTCTTTTTCCTGCATGCATGTATGTGTACCAAGTGTGTGCCTGGTGCCCATGGAAGACAAAAGAGGGCAATGGATCCCTGGAACTGGAGTTGCAGATGGTTGTGAGATTCATGTGGGTGCTGGGAATCAAGCCTGGGTCCTCTGGGAGAGAAGCCAGTGCTCTTAACCTCAGAGCCAGGTTCATAGCAACCATAAAGTAAGACTTTGCATGGAAATAGGGACAATATATTTGACCTTATTCTAGCCTGTTTCCCAAGCCACCAGCCTTGAGGGAGTCTGACATTAAAGAAGACTCCGGGACAGGTCTGTCTTACTGCACAAGGTCCTCTGTACACACCTTGCTCCTTTCGAGAGCAACTCTCCTGGACCTCATTCCCAGGGTGCAGAGAACAAGATCATGTCCTGATTGTGGTGAATACTGCTAAGACCCAACCTCTTCTCTCTGCCAGGAGTTAGAAGACTTTATTCTGAGAAAGAACATAGGTGACTCCACGCATCATAAAGTCCCCTCCCATCACAGATGGTGACCACATGGAAGCCGCATCACAGCTTACTCTTTGAGGCAGGGTCTCCCATTGGCCTCAGACTCACTAGGTAGGGCTAGCCTGGTAGACCAGCAAGCCTAGGGTCTGCCTGTCTCTCCAGGAGCAAGATCACAAGCATGCCTTGTGCCTAGCTTTTTAACATGGTTGTGGGGCTCCATCTGAAATCCTAATGCTGTGAAGTGACGTATTTACCCACTGCCTTCCCTCTGAGGTTTCAGGGTGAGGGGCTCACTCTTGTTCCTTTCTGAATGTAGCACCATCCACGTTCCCAGTGCTGGAGAGACTGTCATCACCCTGAGCATCTTCACAAACCCTGAACTCACCACTCCACTCAAGAACAGCACAGCTCCTGTGGGCATGACCCTCTACGTGGCCCTCAGGTCCACCAATAGTGATCCTGACCGATTTGTTCTGGTGGCTAATGAGGTCTTTGCCAGTAGCAACCCCTCCAACACAGAGGCTAAGGCCACCTATTATTTTGTGAAGGAGAGGTAAGGACCAATCAGGCCCCAGCTCTTGGACTGTGACTCTTTCAGGCACTTTTATTTCCATGGACACAGACTCTCATTCTTTTCTGTACCCATCGCAAACAAAGTGGGGGAGGAAGGGATTGGTGAGTGTTTGTTGAGTGAATGCATTCAGGCCCATTTTACAGATAAGTAAACTGAGGCTCAGAGAGATTAAAATCTGCTCAAGGTCTCACAGCCAATAGATGACATTCATTTGTTCTTTCTTCCAAACAGTTATTGAGGGCCTATGATGAGACAAAAAATAACATTTTAACATGTTAGAGTATCATATGCTATGTTATATATTGATGTATATTGCTTGCAATAGCTAAAACAGCTAATAATTTAATTATTTATGAATAATATTTATTTCATGCCAGATGTAGTTTGCGTCACATCACATTTATCAGTTAATCTAAATATTTTTTGTTGTTGTTTTTCGATACAGGGTTTCTCTGTGACTTTGGAGGCTGTCCTGGAACTAGCTCTTGTAGACCAGGCTGGTCTCAAACTCACAGAGATCTGCCCGCCTCTGCTTCCCGAGCACTGGGATTAAAGCCACCAACGCCTGGCTCAATTAATCTAAATCTTACAGCACACTATGACAGTTATATATTGATTCCCATCTTACACAAGGAAAAACTAAGGCTTGGTTCAAGTGCATGGTAGGTGACTGGGTTAAGTGTTGAGCGCATTAGGATAAGAGCTGGGTCTCTTATTCAGGTGTGGTGACCTGTACAGCAAATCTAAGCACTTGGGATGCTGAGGCAGGAGAATTACTTAACATATCGAGCTAGCCAAGCAAGGCCCTATTTTTTGTTGTTTGTTTTTGAGACAGGATTTCTCTGTAGCCCTGGCTGTCCTAGAAGTCACTCTGTAGACCAGGCTGGCCTCGAACTCACAAAGATCCACCTGTCTCTTCCTCCCGAGTGCTGGGATTAAAGGTGTGCACCACCACCTCCACCTCAAAAGACCCTATTTTAAAAAGAAATTCTAAAATAAAATTAAATATGGGGCATAGTGGTGCAAGCCTGTAACCTAAGCTCTCAGAAGGTAGAGGAGGGGAATTAAGATTAGCTTCAGCTACATAGAAAATTCCAGGTCATCCTGGGCATAAAGAAGTGGGAGAGGGAGAGGGAGGGGAGGGGGAGGGAGGGGAGAGGGAGGGAGAGAGGGAGAGGGGGAAGGGGAGAGAGAGGGAGGGGGAGGGGGAGGGAGAGGGTACTCTTACATGTATCACATTTCATTAATATTATATTAATATTATAATAGTTTTGTAGAAGCACAGGGGATTACTCATCAGTTTACAGTTAGCAGAACAGTCCCACGAAGGATTATTTCCTCCACTGCACAGATGAGAGAGCCGAAGGCTCAGAGCTTGACCAAGGACTGCTTATGCTCAGTTCTATCCCAAAACACACTGCTGAATTTGTCTTTTCCTCTTTTCCTGAGGTTCTGGGGTTCCCACCTAGGGCCAGCATTCTGCGAGACCAACACTCTGACCCAACTTGAGGACCTCCTAATTTCTCAGAACCTAAGTTTCCTCCTTGTTTAAAAGGAAAGGGCAGGGAAGTTTGAGGCTGGAGAGACGGCTCGGCAGTTTAAAGCACTGGCTGCTCTTGCAGAAGCCCTGGGTTGGGTTCCCAGCTCCCACATGGAGTTACAACCATCTGTAACTCCAGTTCCGGGTGATGGAACAGCGCCCTCTTCTGACCGCTGTGGGCCCTGCACTCCCGTGGGACACAGATATGACAGGCGGAAAATAATAGACGTTTAAAAATGCAGAGTTGTCAAAAGCGTGGTCTCTCGCAGAATGTGGATATTGGGGTGAAATTAAATAGTCCGTGTAATTCTCAGCTCGAGATCCAACCCCACAGTTATATAGAACAAGTGAGAGTGTTGGCACCTCGGGCCACAAGCCTGGGTTCCAATGCGAGGCCTTCCCACAGCTGCCCAGTCCAGGGCCGGCTGCTCCAGGACCTGAGCAACGGGGCCTCAGTACAAGTGATTCTGGCCTTCACTCTGTCGCGATTCTTGAGCAGTGACAAGCTCTACCTACACGCCCAAGTGACCCTCTGTGACAAGCAAGCATCCCGCCCATGCCAACCGGTGAGTGGGGCTCCTGAAGCCCAATAATGCAGCTAGGACCGGACCAAGGGTGGTCGTGTGGCTGTGTTCTGGCCTCGTACTGCAAGGACTGGGTTGGGGGCAGATTTAACAGCAGGGTTGGAAGCCCTAGCTAGATCTCACAGGTGGAAGTCAGAGGACTTATTTGGGTTGTGGGGTTATGGAACATGAGTCACTGAGGTCTTAGGGAAAGTCCCCATGCTGTCTTGCCACCCACAGTCTTGTAGTGGGAAGACTCCCCTGCAGAGAAATTCACCCTGGGACTCTCAAGCTGGGACCCGTCTGGAACCTGGCAGCAGCAAGTGGATCATATTCGGGCCTCTCGGAATAAGCGGTACATGGGTGAACCATTTGCAGGACCTCCCCAGCTCCTCTGCCAAGACCCTCCCAATGTCTTGTCCTGAGACCCTGAGCTTTCGCTGAGTCCCCTCTCACCGCCGTGTCTGCCCACTGTTCCCCTAAACCCAGCGTGAGCCCACGCTCTTCCCTGCTCTAGACAAGTCCTCGAAACCACCCCAGCCTATTTGCACTCATCTTAGTTTCTTTGCCGGCTACTGTGGAAAAAACAGACATACGGAAGCAACTTAAGGTTTACTGTGGCTCAAAGCTGAGCATTGGTGGCGCACGCCTTTAATCCCAGCACTCGGGTGGCAGAGGCAGGCGGATCTCTGTGAGTTCCAGGCCAGCCTGTTCTGCAGAGCTAGTTCCAAGACAGGCTCCAAAGCTACACAGAGAAACTCGATGGTTCAAGGGTACAGTCCATTAAGATTATGTCAGGGAATCAGGGCGGCAGGAGCTTGCTGGCATTGGCCACATTACTTCTGCAGACAGGAAGAGGAGAGACATGAACAGAAATCAGTGTTCAAGCTCACTTTCGGTATCTTGGACAGTTCCAGGGGCCCCTGCCCAGAGAACTGGTGACTTCAGTACAATTAGGATGAGTCTTATCATATCAACTAGTGTAATCAAGATACTCCCACTCAGGCATACCCAGAAATCCATCTTCCAGGTGACTCTGGATTCCACCAGGTTGACAACACTAACCAATCATGCCACTCGTTTGAGTCTGAGCCATCTTTACCTCTAGAATCTCTCTAAAAAAATTGAAAATTTTGTTTTATGTATATGAATGTTTTGTCTGCATGTATGTCTGTGTACCACGTATGTGCCTGGTGTTCACTTGAGGCCAGAAAAGGGCATTCAGTTCCCTGGAACTGGAGCCACAGATAGGTGTGAACTACTGTGTGGACATTGGGAATTGAACCTGTGTCCTCTGAGAGAGTATTCAGTGCTCTTAACTGCTAAGCCATTGCTCCAGTCCCTCAAGCACTCTGTCTCCTTTCCTGTCACAGCAACTCACTCTTCTCAGACTTTCATGTCAGCCTCTATTTGGTCATTATTCCTGGCCCAGAACACTCTGTTCTCTCTATTCTGTACGAGTCATTTTACCCTCTTTGGGAAATCCCTTGCTTTTGGTGAATCCTGAAGGATCCTCTCACCCTTCTGAGTCCCAGCTTTCAAAATCAGCCACCCTCCTTTGTCCAGCCCCAATAGAGTGGTGAGAGGCCCTTGGAACTCAATCTCTGTTTTTATGTGGTTGCAGCGCCCAGAGCCTCCAGCAGCAGAAGCCGAGCAGGTTAGTACATGGGGATTGCTGCAGTGAAGCTGTCATGTTACACACAGGCTAGTGCTGATTTTGGATACTGTTTCTTCTCAGAGCTGTGGGCCAAGAAGTCAATTAAGTCTCAGCTGGGGCCATACATGGCAGAGTTGATGTGGGGCTGTTGCCTTATCCGGCCTCAAAAATCTGAAACTGCCCAGAAATGACTCAGAGCAAGGGTTGAAGGCTTGAATCGCACCAGGCACAGTGGAGCATGCCTGAACCCAGAAGCTTAGAGCCAGCCTGTGCAAGATAGTGAGACCCTACTCCACGGAAAAGCCAGGTGTGGTGGCTTACCCTGCAATCCCAGCACTTAGGAGGTGCAAGCAGGAGAATTAGGTGTTTAAAGTCATCCTTGGCTACAGCCTGGACTACATGTCTCAAAGAAAAAGAAAAAGAGAAAGAAAAAAATATTGGTGTAGTAACACTCCAAATGGAGGTTGTTCAGTGAGTAAAGTGCTTGCTACCCTTGACGACACAAGTTCTGTCACTGGGACCCATAATGGAAAGAGAGAACCCGAGAAAGTTGTCCTCTGACTTCCACAAGTACACCATGACATGCCCACACAAAATGTAATAAAACGAGATCTTGAAAGGTCTCATAGACTCTGAAAGCTCCTCAAATCCCATTTCAAATATTTCATTTTAAAGTATGTGTATATGTGTGTGCGCCATATGCAGTGAGTGCTGGCACCTGTGGAGGCCAGCGGTGCCAGCCTGGAGCTGAAGTTAGACGACTGTGAGCTTCCCGATGTGGGTGACAGGAACCCAGCTGAGGTACTCTGCAGGAGCTCTGCGCTCTTAACTGCTGAACCATCTCTCCAGCCCCCTCAATCCTACTTTGTAATCATTTCTTTCTTTTCTGCAGGAGCCTGGATGTTCCCCTTGTTCCTGATGGTGGTAGGCTGGATGCTGGAATAGAACCTGGCCCAGCCTCCCGACTCCAACACTAGAACTTAGTGTCTAGTTTACTTGCCTGAGTTGAGGGTGGAGTGGAGGTAGATTTGAGGAAAGCCAAGTAGTGTGACCTCTGTTAGGTACCAGGAAGCTGGGCACGAGCCTGTGTGTAGCCCGGCACCGGGAGGAATGTGGCCGTTGCCCCATGGATTGTGCTCTCTCTCTCTCCTCGAGCTTTGTTTCCTGTGTCTGCAACCCTTAGGGGAGGGTGTGTGATTAGACCACTCAATATGATAGGGGTAAGTAGAGAGGTTATGGCCAATAAACACAAAGATTCTACTTTCTCTGATGTCTGTCTGTATAATTTGACCACAATGCTTCAGTGCTCCAGGTCAATGAACTAAAGGATTGGAGGGGGTTTGGGAGGCTTGACAGTCACATTATTCCTTTGGGGCTTCATTTCCACACACACAAAATGAAAATGTTTGACCAGATGACCTCTGCTTCAGTATGCGAATGAGTCCTACGACGTCCTTGGGTCAGCTGACCCTACTTTCTCTTTCTTTTTTATCTGCAAAATTGTCAAAACTGTTCAGTTCCAGGATGAGAGTTGAATGCATTTATATAATAGAGCCCAGGCCTTTTCCTCCTATCCCTTGGTTAGTCCAGGACTCCTTAGGCCAACTTTCCTGGTTGAGTAACAGTGTTTGTGCTGTCGTCTTTTTTTTTTTTTTTTGGTTTTACAAGACAAGGTTTCTCTGTATTGTTTTGGAGGCTATCGGTCCAGCCCAGCCTCAAACTCACAGAGATCCACCTGCCTCTGCCTCCCGAGTGCTGGGATTAAAGGCGTGCGCCGCCGCCACCACCACCCGGCTGTGCTGTCGTCTTTAATTCATCCCAAACCAGACTCTATTCCATACCTAGGGCCATGCTATACCCTGGGGATTCAGCAATCTTAGACAGACCTAAAGACAGGGTGAATGAGTGTTGGAAGGAGACTGTGGACCAGGGAACAGGTCAGACGTTAGCTGTTAACAGACAGGCAAGCTATACGAGGCACTGTGCGCCTGCAATCCCAGCCACCTGGAGATTGAGCCTGGAGGATTATTCTGAGCTTGAGACCAGCCTGGGTTATATATCAAGACCCTGTCCCAAACAAACAAACAAACAAACAAACAAAAGACCACAAAATGAGTGAAAGTGTTGTTCAGTGATAGAGGATTTCCACAGCACACTCTGGGTCTTGAGTTTGATTCCCAAAACAGCAATAAACTCATACGAGCCCCAAACACTCATTCTCCAAAAGGAAAATATCAGAAAATGGGAGCTGGGTACAGTGGTGCATGTCTATGATCTTAGCACTTGAGGTGCATGTCTGTAATCTTAGCACGGGAGAGGTGGTGGAGCTGGAAGGTCAGGAGTTCAAGGTCATCCTCAGCTACACAGTGAGTTTTCTAGCTTCATGAAACCTTGTCTCAAACAGAAAACTCAAGAAGTACTGGCCAAGCCATGGTGGTGCAAGCCTTTGATCCCAGCACTTGGTGGGTAGAGGCAGGAGGATCTCTGAGTTTAAGATCGGCCTGATCTATAGAGTGAGTTCCAGGACAGTCAGAGATGCACAGAAAAACCCTGTCTCAAAAAAAAAAAAATCAGTCAGTCGTTGGTGGCGCACGCCTTTAATCCCAGCACTCGGGAGGCAGAGGCAGGCAGATCTCCATGAGTTCGAGGCCAGCCTGGTCTACAGAGGGAGTTCCAGGACAGGCTCCAAAACAGTACAGAGAAACCCTGTCTTGAAAAACAAAAACAAACAAACAAACAAACAAACAAAAAAAACGAACGACGAACAAAAATCAAGTTCAATTCAGCATTCTGTTCCCTATTTATTTAGAGAATAAGCACATGCATGTACAATGTGTGCTCATGGGCATGGAATCCTTATCCTCCCACTTTATGTGGGTCCCGGGGATCAAATCAACTGTCAGACTTGCACAGCAAGTGCTTTGCCCATTGAGCCATCTTGTCATTCTTTTCAAATCTTTGTGAAAGGGGTTTCATTACATGGATCAGGCTGGGCTTGAACTTGCTACACTGCTGTCTCAACCTTGAGTGCCAAGATTGCAGGTATCCACCACCGAATCTGACTCTTCCCATTCTCTTTGGTTAAATGAGAAAGTTATATTTAACCAAATCTAACATTAAAAAATTATGTGTAGGAGTGTTTTTTGTTTGTTTGTTTTTGACAAGGTCTCCTGGTGTAGCTCTGGGTGTCCTGGAACTTACTATAATAGACAAAGCTGGCCTCAACCAGGGATCCACCTGCCTGTCTCCATGATGCCCAGACATGCATGAGTGTTTTGCCTGCATGTGTGAACCCTCTGCTTGTGTGCTTGGCACCTATTGTTTGATGTTGGGCCATAGGTGCCGCAGTAGAGAGAGAAGCTCACTAGTCTTCTTTTCTAAGGAGCAGAAGGGTACAGTGTAGCAGGCTTTCTCTGGGCCACCAGCCAGCTCCCAAATAAAAACATGGAGATTTATTATTAGTTATAAATGCTCGGCCTTATGCTTGTCCCACTAGCTCTTGGAAACAATTTAAAACTTGTTCCTTTCCCCTGTATTTTGCTGTGGGCCCTTTACCCTCTTCCATTCTGTGTGAACTACTTTTACTGCTTCCTCTGCGTCTGGCTAGTGGGCAGCTGCCCAGCTGGCCAGCCCCAGCGTCTCCCTTTCTTTCTCCCTCAGTCTCTCCTCCCTCTGGGTCTCTCTGTCTTAGATCCCTCCTCCTACTTATGCTCTCTGCCTACCAGCCCTGCCTATCCCTCTACTGCCTAGCTATTGACCATTCAGCTTTTTACTACATCAATCAGGTGCCTTAGGCAGGCAGAGCAACACATCTCAATATCATTAAACAACGCAGCATAAACAAATGCTACACATCTGTACATAGTTAAAGTACTATTCTGCAACAGTACAGCCTTCTTGGAACTCCAGTTACTTTATTCAAACATATACAAGGTTAATTGGGGCTGAGAAAGGTTCCAACTACCAAAGTCATACCATAGGTTCAAACTACCAAGCCATAATCAAAAATAAGAGTTCAGGATCTGAGCCGGGCAGTGGTGGCGCACGCCTTTAATCCCAGCACTCGGGAGGCAGAGGCAGGCGGATCTCTGTGAGTTCGAGGCTGGGCTGGACTGATAGCCTCCAAAACAATACAGAGAAACCCTGTCTCGAAAAACCAAAAAAAAAAAAAAAGAGTTCAGGATCTGCCAGGAGTGTCTTAGAAACAAGGGCTGTGCAGCTGCAAGCTCTCAGTACCAGCAAGTGCAGACTCCCAGGGACACAGCTCTTCAAGATCTAAAGAGTCTCCAAACAATTTCTCAGCCTCTACTGATGACCCAAACATAGCAAAGGCTTTGCTGAAACATTTCTCTCAAAGCCAGACACAAAGGCCTTGCTATAAATTTCACTTAAAGCCAGACACAAAGGCTTTACTTACATGTCACTAAAGGTGCCCACAGAGGTCACTGGATCCCCTGGAATTGGAGTTACAATCGGTTGTGAGCTACAATGTGGGTGCTGGGAACCAAACCCCAGTCCTCTGTAAGAGCAGCCAGCGCTCTTCACCACTGAGCCACCTCTTCAGCCCCAAGTCTATTCTTTTTACTTTAAATCCTGCTAGTTGGTATATTTCCGTTAACGTATTTTATTAAACATGCAGCAAATCCTTTAAAAAATAATGAGGTAGCCACAGCATTTGGAAGGTAGGACAGGACGACCAGAAGTTCAAGGTTTCCCTGAATTACAGAGCGAGTGTGAGGCTAGCTCAGTTTATGTGGAACCCTGTGTCCACAAAGAATAATAAAGTAGCTGAAGATTTCTGGAAACTTAAAATGATGAATATTCTTCGAAATGAGAACCTAAAGACTGTTGAAATAAGAGGACTCATTTTCATGCGGAAATTATCATATGATGGAGTAGCTTGTAAATTACAGGGGGAAACTGAGCCAGCCATATTTATTCACACCTGTGGTCTCAGCACTTGGTAAGCAGAGGTGGAAGGGCTAGCTCAAAGGTGACCTCGGCGATAAAGCAGGCTCTGGGTTAGCCTGGGCTACATGAAACCCAGTCAAACACTAAACAAGGGGGGTCAAGAACAATTGGTGTTCTAAGCAGAGGAATGTTCAGACCCCAGCACCACAGTAGGTGGTTCACAAATGCCTGTAAATAGAGCTCCAAGGGATCCAGTGCTTTCTGGCCTCTAAGGATACTGGGGTACACACACACACACACACACACACACACACACACACACAATAAACCTTAAATAAATATATATATAGATATAGATATAGATATATATCCAAGAACCCCTTCAGGAGCCCAAGTCCAAAGACTCAGGAGTCCAAGGTGAGCCTGAGCTAAATACCAAGACTTTGTTGAAGAAAACAAATACGTGTGTGTGTGTGTGTGTGTGTGTGTGTGTGTGTGTGTGTGTGTATGATATGATCTCATTGTGCAGCTCAGGCTAGCATCAAACTCCTGATCCTCCTGTCTCAGAATTGTGATTACAGACATACTTGTAGGCATTTGGACAGATCAGATGGGATGGACAGGGATTGATTATGGCACACGGGAGCCAAAGAATACTGAGTGTTATAACTTGGATGGAAAGGTATTCTGGTACTCGGGAGCCAAGGAATACCACAGGTCACAGTAAGCATAGCAGCTTACAGCCTTGCTTCAGGGAAAGGCTTCCCCAGTGGGTCAGCTCTGCTCCTGCAGGAGAGGGCTTCCCAGGCAAAGTTGTTATACTTCAGCTCCATTCCCTGCTGGAGAGTGTAACACTTCAGTATCCCAGGGGAAGGTTTACCCCAGTGAAAAGTGTTACAGTCCTGCTCTGCTCTACCCAGGCTGGCTCTGTCTGCTCCAGGGAAAGAAGGTCTCACCCAAACCTCATTCAAAAGATTTATTGGGAGGGAAGAATCCAGGAGAGTGGCTGCTCCCTGCAGAGGACAACAGCCTGAACAGCAACAATCTGAACAGTCACAGGGTTTATATAGGGATTCGTTGCTCCAGGGTGGGGATTAGTCAGATTTCAATCCCTGAGCGCATATTGGCTAGAATTCCTGCTTGGGGATTGGCTAGTTTTCTACACAGGATTAGAGTCAGATTTGGTTCTAGTTTCAGGGCCAAAGTATGTTTCTTTCTTTGGTCCTTTTTAGCCTTTGGCTCTAGTTTTAGGGCCAGGGTGTATTTCTTTCACTGGCTCTGATTCCAGGGACAAAGTGTGTTTCTTTGGCACTGGTTTCAGGGT